CAAATACCTTTGCTTGGAGATTTGGCTAGAATTCTAAGTTTCTGCATTTTAAAAGGGAGATCTGGAATAGCATCTTTCGAAGTATTTTTCTTCTCCTAAAATTAGGTTACGCCAGTTTGGTGTAGTGATAAAGGCACCAAACTAGAAAGCGGGAGATTGTGAGTTCTACTCCCACCTTGGGCATAATGCCTGATGGGTAACCTAGGGCTAGTCCATGTCTCAGGCCCAGGAAGAAGGCAAGGGCAAACCACTTCCAAAAATCTTGACAAGAAAAATGCAAGGATTTGTCCAAGCAGTCAACAGGAATCAACATAGACTTGAAGGTGGACTCCCACCCCCATCAACAAAGTTGAACCTATAACCTAACCTCTTATAGCATAAGAGTGTTATTGCTATAAGCAGATTCATTGACACAATACAAAAGTGACTTTCTTTTTCCGTCTATGACTGCAAGTTCTGAGGGTGATTGGTTGAGATTGCTAATTATTCACCCCACCCGTTATACAACATCCCCTGTACTGACTTTATCTCTCATGCTAAGATCAACAAGCAAGGGTATAGTTCAGAGCCTCTCCTTAGGGAATACATGGAAAAGGATTTTAATTATGCCATTATAAGCTGTCAATATAGATCCTTATTGCTTCCCTCCTACTTCCTCTGAAAGTTTCCAGGATTCTAGTAGTTTCTTTACAAAAACAAAACTTTTAATTAAGATTTTAACAGTGGTATACAAGTTGAAATTAAAAAATAGGGAAAAGAAAAATGCAAAATGCAAAAATCCACCATCAGGAAAAAGTCCATAAAGAGTACCTAATATTTTATAAAAATATATTCTTAATCAAATGGGTTAATTTTATGCTCCTTTTTTTGTGCCTAACAATGTTAATCTTTACTTCATTAAGATGCTGCCATAGGGTTTGATCTCCATCCAAATTTTCTTTCTCTTTGTGTAGAATTTTTTTTCATAGCTTCAACAACCTTCTTTTGTAAATCCCATAATGGGTCATTACCCAGGTCATTTTTCTTGGCTTATTGTTTGCATTTCCACTTTAGTTTTCATTTCTGATTTACACAATTTCAATTTTATTTTTCAGTATTTCTGCATCAGTTACTTGTTTAACCTCTTCATCATGTCAGTCTGTAAATTCTTCCAAATTCTCTCAAGTTATAGTATTCTCCTTCATATCTTTAATTTCTTCTTTAGAATCTTTTTGAATTATGTATTCATATAGGTCAGTGGAGGCAAACCTATGTCACGCGTGCCAGAGATGGCACTCAGAGCCTGCCATTCCCCCAGTCCCATCTCCCACCGTGGCCCCTCCTCAGAGCAGCCCCCTCAGAGTCGCCCCTGGGCGTAGCCTGCATGGACCAGCAGTCAAGCACATGGCAGCCAGGCAGCAGAGACAAGACTCCGCCCTCGTGCTCCGTCGTGTGCAGATGATGCTGTGGGGTGCGGGCAGAGGGCGTGGCCATGGTGCTGCAGGGCTGCCTGGGCGATCTGCTGCAGTGGGCCGTGGAAGCAGTGGGTGGCCCAGCAGGGGGGCATGGAGCGGGGGCAGGCAGGGGGTGACAGGCGGTTTTTGGGCACTCGGTCTCTAAAAGTTTCACCATCACTGATATAGATGATTGTTATAAAAGCCGTGTGCTTTTTTCTCATTTCTTCAAAACTCCTTTGACTTGTCTCCCATGTAATATCTTTATCAAATGTCACTGATATTTATTGAATTCAGAAGTAAACAAGCAGTTTTCTTCATTCACACACACACACACACACACACACACACACGCCATCTGGGATCTTTAGGCCCTTCTAGTGTCCTATTACTGTATCAGAAAATCTGTCTCAAATTTCTTTTGCTTGTTTAAAAAAAACCCCAGCCTACCTATAAGAATACGCCATCTCTTTTCTGTGATTTCTGTTCCCATGAAAGTACTGTTTTGTTTTTATTTATTTGAAATTATATGAAATTTGCTATAAGACCTATAGCAAAAATAATATTTCAACTATTAAGTCAAATATTTCAAATTTGTCTGGTCCCTTAGTTTATTTAAATTTTTCTTGGATTAAATTCTAATCTAGCTTTTTGCCATTAACAGTATATATTTAAATCTTTAAATTGTTAATTTTCCCCTTTCTGGAGTAAAGGATCACTCATCAGGAAGTTTTTCCAAACTTGTTGTTTGGAAGATCTCTTTTAATTTTAAAAGTTATATTCCAAAAGTGAGGTTTGATGAACCTGGTGTTGGTATAGGGGGCTCTGCTGCAATTGGGAGCTTAATGATTTTCCTTTTCTCCTAGTTCTCCTTCCAAGGAGCAGATATGTGGAACACAAGTAGGCGATCTCTCATACTCTCCTTGGCTGCAGAGATTCATCGCCGTCCCTCAGTCTTGGCTCCAGTGCATTGCTCCTTCGAAGATGTGTTACCTTGCCATTCCTTATCCCTGGAAGTCAATATTTTAGTAGTGAGAATCTCTCCCTGAGATGTGTAGTTCAAAAATACGTAAAATAAATAAATAAATACCTAACATTTGGCTCCAACTTTTCCTTCATGGCAATGTTTTTATGCCTACGCATCTATACTTACAACCTTGCAGAAATGCTTGATATCATAAACATTTACATTAGTGCTTTAGGTAGCCCAATTAATTATCCTGCCAAAAACTGTTCTGATAAAATCTGTCCTGGTAACTAACAATTCCTCAGCGTCTGAAGCATGTAACTTTATTGCATTTGGCAAAACAAACAAAGAGTAGTAGCCAGATAGTTTGGAATGAGCTGTTCTACAATTTTCCCAATCTGGTGACCTCCAGATGGGTTGAGTATCACTCTACCATCCTCAGCCAACATAGCTACGGTAGTGGTTGCGTTGCCTGAGGAGGATGAAGTCATAGTCCCGTTGAATTGGAAAGCTGAAAACTGGAGAACGTGTTTTAGATTGCTGCTCTGTGGTAATCTAGTTGGGCATATATTCGTAAATAAACCAGATTGTGGCACCCAATCTGTAAACAGTGAGTATGTTAGGAATAAAGCTGCTGTAGATGATCCTGTGCAATGGCATATAGGGCAAAGGGTGCTAAAAAACAGATATACAATCCTTATCAGTAGCAGGAAAGGTTGCACGCAACACACAGCACGACAGAATGGTAGCTAAATTTACACAGCTTCTAGATCAGTGGTTCTCAACCTTTTTAATGTTGCGACCCCCCAACCGGTCGTAAGTCGAGGACTACTCAACTGGTGCAGCACCGTTTGCAGAATGGGACTTTTGATGGGCTCAGCAGGGCAGAGACAGCCTGGATAATTCCTATTGGCTTTTGAAAGCCAATAGAATTAGACTCTATTCAAGAGAGTCTATTCTATTGGCTTTCAAAAGCCAATAGAATAAAAGAGAGTAGCACAGCTAAGGAAAAGGAGGGAAAAATGGCAGACTGCGTTGTCTGGCGACCCCCGTGAAATGATCGTTCGACACCAAATGGGGTCCTGACCCACAGGTTGAGAACCACTGCTCTAGATTAAAAAGTATCATAAGAAATTCTCAACTAAGGCGTGCTCCAAACCTTACAAATGTCAGTAAAAGAAATAAAACACAATAAAATAATCAAATTAAGTAATGTATTTTCATTAAGAAACTGAGATATTTTTAATATACTGAATAAGTAAAATATTTCAAAAGCGACTGAAAAGTGTTAGTTTGGTGTCTGAACTAGTGATTGACTTTTGGAGACAAAACACATAAAACTAGAGTCCCAATTGAGAAGACTTGTGGAAATTGATAAATAACAATATTTTAATACCTTGAACTAGGCACAGAAGTGTGATCCCAGGAAAAGAAATGTGCAGTTTCCAAGAGTTCCATACACCTTGCTGGCGAAAGCACTTAACTATTTAAATGCAATTGTCGCGACCCCCATCGACAACCTGGTGGCAGCAATGGGCAGCAGCTCTGCCAAGCTCTTTCTAAAGAGGGGTAAGAGAACATCGTTCGCCTGCAGAAGGTCCTCGTTTCCGTCTCAGCATCATATACAGTGCACGTATTACATCGGTCAGCGAAGGGAAAAAATGTTGGACTACCCCATCTATACTACAAAAATCCGAAGGATCCTTTAACTGCAGCAGATGCAGAAAGCAGCTCCTTGCCATCACTAAAATGTCGTTTAAATTTGTGCAGCTATATTACTGCAATATATTGCAAAATATTATATGTATTCTACTGCATTTATTTAGGGAGGTATATTTTCCCCTTCTTAAAGAGTTTGCAATCTGTATGTTTCGATATTAATCGAAATATTGTTATTTATCTCCTGAGAGAAACGCCCGAACGTAAATAGACTCGAGGTTCGGTGCAGAGAGAAGGGCGGGGTAATCCTGCAATTTTAGACGTTGATTTCCTGAAGAGGCGCCCGTTCTTAAATTTCATTGGCTGGTCGGTTTGTCATTCCCGTAAATTCTTGCAGGCACATAGCTGAACTCTCGGGAAACAAGAATATTTTCCTCCCTTCTCCGGAATGTTCCCTCTTCCTTATATTTCGAAATCTGTATCGTGTTATCTTTCAGAGATCATCCCCCCAAAATCCCCTTTTATGTTTCTCAAAACCCATAGTGCTGGGCTTTTTATCCTCTTTCAGACGCTCCACATTCCCGCGCCCGTTATTACTTCTGAGCTCAAAGGGAGTAATAACTTCCCCCGCCCCATTTGCTTTATAAAACCAGGACAGGGGGAAAGAACTGTCTATTGCTCCTTTCCGCGGTCCTATTGGTGGAAGGCGAAAAGGTGGGGTTAATATTCCCGCCCCTCTCAGGTTTTCCTTCCTCAATCGCCGCGCCTAGGGACGCGAGTGCCTTAAATCTCCTTGGCTTTGCTCTGTGAACAGAGACATCTAGAGGGGGCGGGACCAGGATCCGGTGCCTTGGCGAAAGCTGAATCCCTATTGGAGAATGTGGCCAGGTAGGAGGGAACCGAGAGGCAGGGGCCCGGATCCTAATTGGCCAGTCGGAGCAAAGGCTGTGGAGCAGAGGGCGGAGTTCGCTGCCCATCAATAGGGGAGTGAATTGGGATTGCCGCGGGAGGCGGCGGCGGCGGCGGCGGTGGTTCCGGTGGTTGGTCTTTTTCCGCCGCTGTCCGCAGCAGCCCCGGCTCCTCCATGGCCGCTGCGGTCACTGGCGCGGTTCTCTCTACCGCGCCGGTAGTGGGGGAGGCGGTGGTCGTGGAGGTCAGGCCCGGTGGCTTAGGACCCCCGCCTCCTTGAAGAGAAGGAGCCGAAATGGCAACGCCGGCCGCGCAGGTAGGAGGGCGAGGGCGCTAGGCTTCCCCCCCCCTTCCCTCCCTACTTCTCCTAGCTGGCTAGCGCAGGAATCCCTTGCTGCAAAGAGGGCGAAACGCTTTCCTCCTTCAGCCGCCGTTTGCTGTCCATCCCTTCTCTTCCCGGTGGAGAAAATCTCCTTCGGGGAGCCGGGTCTCCTTCTGCCCGTTAACTCTTGCCCTGCTTTCAGCCCGAGGGTAGGGCCCCGGTTTGTCTCGGAGGGGGGTATTTGGCCTGCCCGGATTGGGACCTCCCGATTGTCTATATAGGTTTCCACGCCTTGCTTGGGAGTTTTCCCTGGGGAAAAAAAGCCAGGCTTTTCTCCTGTATTATTTTCCCACCCCGAAGAAGGGACAAGCCGGGTTCTCCCGAACCCAGTAATTCCCCTGTCCTCAAGAGGGAGCCTCGGCCACCCCTAAAGGAGGGATTTGTCATTTCCTGCTGTCTGCCAGGAATGGTAGCCTTTCTCTCCTCCCCCCTCCCCCCCCGTTAGTTAGGTCAGTAATTATGAGAATCATCATGCACTCTGAATGTAAACGGTGTTGCTCCACCATGTTCAGTTACTTTCTGCATATATCATTAAAGCTCTTTTCTAAATGAACATTGGGACTAAGAAACGTTGGAAGGTAGATAAGGTGCGTCCTATTGATTCGAGGTTTAAGCCTGTTCGTGGAAAATAAGATTATTTTAGTATTTTACCTCTAATATTCAGGTCCTTGAATAGGAAGCATAAGCAAAAAGGTGCTGTTATGCTTATATCCTGCTTGGGATATATTTGGACATACCATTGGTCTCTAAACTTTGGTTGGATCTAACCTGAAGGTTTTTACATTCCTCCATAATACCCTGTGTGAATCAATACAAGTTCAGATGCATTAAGATCCTTTTTTTTTTAACCTAAAAATGTTTGGCATTTACAATTTTTTATATTTAGTATTGCAATTTTAGTTCCTTTTGTTTTCCTTTGAAATGAGTGGACAGAGGAATCTTCTCTCCTATCCAAGAATAGTGAAAGCTATCTTCTTTATTATTAAGATTTTATTGTTAACAACTTTTAGGAAATGTTATTGGGTTCATGTGGGTCAGAGAAGATGTATTGTCATCAAACAGCCAAATTCTTACGTCTAATGGGAGAAAAATATCACTTCTTGAATTCTGTAGGCTAAAATTGCGGCAATTTTTTGATCTGAAGAAATATGTTGATTTTAGTCTTTCTATTAAATTCAGTTTCAAAGGTTTTGTGAACGCTAATTTTAGGTTGGTGTAACACTCAAAATAGATGCTTATATATTGTCTAGTTATTAATATTTTTACTGAAATTAGTTTTAGGAAACAAGATAGAAGAAATACAAGACATTTGTTCTCTTTATACAATTTTTGTACAACATATTGCCAACTCCTTTTTATTGAAAGTTTACCACACACATTTGACTTTAGTGTTAATGCCAATAATTTGTGCAAAATGATCAATACAGAGAAGTTTATTTGCTATAGTTGTTTTTTTTAAAATGAGAAATCATAGTTTGAACGAGTTTGATTGAATCCTTTAAAAGGATGGTTAGAAATTGAGTTCAGGAATTGGCAGTATGTTATTGAACTTGGCTGGTGAAGCCAGGGATTGGTCTGGTTAATACTTGTATGTAGTGGGCCCAGAGACAAAGCTCGACATTTCTATTGGTTTGACATAAGATTATGCACAAAATGTCTATAGTGTGTCAAACTGTAGCCACATTTCATAGTTGAGCATGCCTTTGATTCTGGGGAGCTTCATTTGGGAATAATAATAGCATAAGAGGACCAAATGTAAACATAAAATAATTCTATCTTATATTTTACTGTTGTTAGTTCTTGCTGTTTCTTGCTACAACTGACAACATGGCTAATCTACAGTTAAGTGTTTGTCCAAACACACAAACTACATCTGGCCATTTTTAACCGTGGTATGTTATGATGACCTCTATATTTTGTAATGGTTGAAAACAGTGTTTATAAACCATGCTGTTTCATGTTTTACTAAGTGAAGATGATTGGTAGTATATTTTAATAAATTAATTTATAAAAATGTTCAAGCTCAGTTGAAATAAATGGTGTTGTACATGCATGGTCTAATATATGAATATTCATTTAAATAGAGACGCATGTAAAAATGAAACTTATTACATATCTAAATACTAACAGTTGATTTTGGAAATGTTAAATTGTAATATCTTCTATTCAGTCTTTGTATAAAGATTCAAGCAGCTCTCATGGCTGAAACTAGGATGATTACAGCATCATTTGGTTGTGAATTTCCTTGTTTCTGTACTAATTCATTCCTCAGAGATTCTTTATCCACAACCAGATCTATTGAATATAGATTTGCAGCTTTAGATGGAAAGTCATAAAAATATTCAAGTTGTAAACTGAACTTGAAAAGTTTTTGAAAAGAGAAAACCACTCTTACATTACTACCAGGAAAACATCATAATCATGCCCAGAGAGTTACAGAAGTTGAGCGTAACCTGAAGGATACTTAAACTTTTTAACAGAAATTGAACATTGAAGTACCCTACCATCAAAGATTAGCAGGAATCTTTCTAATATTAATAGATACTTGCTTTTAGCTAGTTGAAGTCCAAACAAAGGGGAACTGTTTCCAAACAACGTCTGTCAAAAGAAAGAAGAATTAATCTATTCATGGGTATAGACTTTTGTTCAGTGGCATATACTGGAAAAACAACAATTGAAAAGAATTATAATTCTGGTTGCTGGACATGGTTAACTATCTGTAAAAATCTTTGTCAGATGGCTACCAATGTAGTGGATGATTATTGAAAACAATCATAGATCAGGATGTCTTCTTCACCTCTATTTTACTTAGAAATCCTTAGCTTAGTTTTTTTAATGGTAGAATTGTCTTATATCTGAGCTAGTTGTGATGTAAACCAGAGTTTCTTAACCATTCTGCATTTACAGATCCTTCTGAGAATCTAGTGAAAGCTGTGGACACACATACTTCTTCAGGAAAATACAAATTAATCTATATGAACAATTTATGTTAAACTGTAAATAAATGGTATTTTCTTGCCACCTTAACTTCAAGTACCCATAAGTATAAAATTATATTAGTTTGGTATTAAAAAAAATCAGTGAGCTTTTGAAAAAATCTACAGTTTTTCTTTAATATTCACATTGACTTGATTGTGTAACAAATGTTCATAATGGCGAACTACTTTTTCTTTAACTTTTATTAGCAGGAAACAATTTAAGACATCATAACATGGCAGTGATAATTATATATCTAGTGTATTCTATATTTTGGAGTAAAACAATGCCTTAATAATTTAATTAGACCTAAATACAAAATTTCCCCAAATATGTTTTTCAAAGTAATGGGAAAGAAATTGAAAAAAAAGAATGGTTTATGTTGCTGTTGTTTTGAATCTGGTTCATAACCTCTCTGAGGATCATGGTTTCTCAATAGTCTATGCACCCAGTTTAAGAACTGCTAGTGTAAAAAACATTGCTTTCTAGTCTCTGCTATAATTCACTAGTGTAAGAGTGATTACTTGGAATCTGTCTTCAGAAATACTTAAAATTTAATACTTAACCTGTTTATTACTGAATTCAGGAGTTTTAGAATCATGGCTCAAGTTGAACTGAAAATGAGATCAGAGATCTTTTGTGAAGCATGATATGTCTCTGATAAACAAGCATTTTAGAAAAAAAAATCAAATTCCACAATACCGCATATAAAATGTGAGGTTTTATTTCCAATTTTGACCATATGCTTCCTATATTGTCGTTCATGTTTTCTGTTACTTGTCTGAAGTCTCACTAGTCTAAAAACATCAGCTGAATAGAAATTGGTTCCAATTCATCTCTGTTATTATTAGATTTTTTTCTCACCTTTTTATATATAGCCCAAGGTAATGAACATGCTAAATACTCCTGCATCTTGTTCCCCTATAGAAACAGCACTTTGAGATAGATTGGGCTAAGAGAAAGTGGCTGGCCCAAAGTCACCCTGTTGGCTTCATAGTCTTTATGAATTAAGAAGAAAATGTCTGCTTTTCAATAACTTTAAGGGAGAAATGTTTTATATGGTGATAGTCACAATTGTTACATGACTATTTGTAGTTAAATAGTATTAGTATTTGAATGGGACTTCCTTCTGTTACAAAATAAATTAATATTACAGTTTGGGGATATGATTATTTAGTCTATTACAACAAAATTAATGTTGTTCAATACTGTTATTTAAATTATGTTTACTTGGAACATAAAAAAGGAAATCAAATTCCCACATACTCTAATTGCTTAATAATGGCAAAACAAAAACCAAATCCACAGGCTCAAAAACCACATTCAGAATCCATTGTGTAATATTGTAGACCTTGTTTATAATTCTCAAGTGCTTCGCTGAAATCTGCTGAAAACAGGGCTATAAGAGGATGAGATCTTATGTATATGAAATTTATCTTTTTCAGTCGTAAGACCTTCATACTAATTTTTTTTTTCATCCTGCATTTTTTCACTGGAGCTGCTCTTAACTGAGTAGTACAGTAGAGCAAATATTGGATCTTGGATTTGCTTTATAAATTTTACTTTTTGGATTTCACACAAATACCATGATAAACAGCAGTTTTGTTGTGTCATAATTAGATCAGAAAGGACTGACTAACGTTAATGAAAATTTTCTCTATTAGTCAGACTTCTTGTCTAGCCACAAAATGATTTCACTGTTTGGGAGCCAGCAAGCCCGTTCTGGTTTCTCCTGGATGCTCCAAGAAAATGTAGATATACAGTATAACGGTATTAAAGATTGAAATGTATAAAAAGGGAATGCGAAGAAAGCCTGATAAGGATATATTTCCCTATTCCCTCTAATGAGGATTCCTCTAATCCTCTGCTCTAATATTAATAATACACAAAAATTAAGTATACAAATGCTTATAAGAACACCAGCCCTCACATACTTTACTTTTTACTTCCTTGATATA